TCTGTGAATTTCCAGCTTTTGGCCAGCACTAAGTAATATATTTCATAAAAGTGATCCAGAGAGCTATAGGCTAGCTCTAATACCTGTAGGATGATCCAAAGCAACTTCTTTTAGCCACAGGAAACAAACTCTGCAGAGGATTCTGCACTGAGTGACTGTATATCTGAACTGAAAGCTTCTGCCTTAGGTGTCAGCTTCATTTCTTGGTTTATGGCAGAAGCTGAAATATTTTCTAAGGCTCTGTGTGGTGAGATTGGTTAGACATTTTTTTGAGTGAATTAAAAAGACAATGTAGGGAGCTACACATCCCTAACTGGGTCTGGCAGTCTCAAATGGATTGCTTTGGTTTCAGTCACCAGATCAACAGATTAGCTGTAGTGTGTCAGCCTAATTCAAATACACGTCCAGACCTCGCTTGTCTTTATGGAAATGGAAAACACATATCCCGTTCCTCCGCAAGTCTGCAGTATAGCTTGTTTTTTCAACTTTCATAATAATCATCCAGTCAGAAGAATTGAAGAATTTGTGTTTTAAACAAAGGATAGTAGAGTTTGTTCGTGCACAGAGCTCACTGGTAAGATGAGCAGAATTGCTGTCCTTGCTTTATGGAAGAAGAGGCTGGATCAGAGGAGAGAGTGACTTTCTGAAGGATACCCGGTAGATCAGTGGCAAAGAGGACTCCTGATTCCTAGTCCAACATTTGGGCACTATGACACACTGTGGACTGCCTGTCAGAAAAAAGCTGGAGAAGGGACATGTTATCATCCACCTTTCCTAGAGGAGGAAAGATTCTGTAACTTTTTCCTGGTCCAAATAGGATGTGTCCAAATAGCCCAGAGACTCAATGCTCATTCAGTCTCCAGGCCACGATGCTCAGCAGACAAGGAGCTGTGTGCTTAGCCTAGTTTGGTAAGGATCTGAAAAGCACGGCTACCAGCCCTTCTGGGCAATTTGGACAAAAAGATTTTTCACCTATTTCTGTATTGCTGACAGCAGAATTACAGCAGGGAAAAGAGGAACTCAGGCATAATCACAGCACAGCTATGGTCAGTCGTAAGGTATTTCAAGTCATTTCTGAAGTAGGTATTTTCAAGCACATTTAGTTTTGCCTGACTTGTCTGTTTTGATGCACAAATTCCATTTTCATTATAAAGTGATAATAAGCTTGAAATTGCTGCTTTTCTAATCCAAGTCAAAAGCTCACCTCTTTGAACTAGGAATGGTGGTGAAAACAGTTTAAAGGCTTGGAAATGTGAGTGGAGCTCTCAGCTACTCTGGCCACGTGCTGGATAATTAATTGTGTGACAGGAAGGAGAAATTTCCTTCTTTTAAAAAAATGCATCTTTCACGATAGTTGTGGTAATGAAAGTTATTAAAGAACTTACTATTAAGGGTTATTTCGTGACTATTTTGGGATGTGCCTTTTAGACTGCAATCAATATGAACAAACCAAACAACCATACGTAAAAGAGACCAGGCTCTCCACTGGATATATGGCGATATGTGTAACTTATGACTATGCTGCATTGTGCTGTTGCACCACCAGGCCCCTCTTACATGGCAAACTACCAGAACAAGTTCTTCTGTCTTCATAGGGACCAGAAGATTGGAACAGGCTGAGTATTTCCTTTAGATTAATGTAAGAATCAAAACTAGTACATGAGAATGCATTAGGTGGCTCAAATGATTCATATCAAAGTTGTTAACTTAAGAAAAACAGCACCAGGGAATAATACAGTGATGTTTTTGGTATAATCTGCCAGTGCTACAGACAAAAATTTCAAACTATTGACAGCTTGAAATATGGTAGGTACATATATAGCATGATACTTTCTGCAAGGCAACCAGAACTAAAAGATATATTTTTATAAATAATCACCTTTGTTTTTCCAAAATGCATAAATCATATTCAGTTTGCTCTGAAGGCTATAACATTTCCAAGCATGTCTCCAGAAAACCTCTGGAGATCTAATTATTCCAGGATACCACAAAAAAGAGTTATTACTTATTTGAACTGCTAAAACTGCTAGCTGCAATATGATGACTTCTCTGTTAGTGCTATTCTGCTTCAGAAAAGAGTTTCTATTCTCTATAGCAACCATAGCTAGGTTTTTATTTTCCCCAGATCCAAGTTCAATTATTTAATATTCCCTAGGCTGAAAGAATACCAGATACATGTTACATCCAATATTTTAAAATAATAGTAATAATAACTTTTGTTTAGAAAAAATGCGTAGGTTTTAGTTCAGAAATTAGACCAAATGGGGAAATTATACTGCTCTAACTTAGCCTAAATGTTGTGATTCTACCATCTTTAATGGAATTATTCTTCTTTGCATCATTTTAAAGTCAGAAGCCTCCAACTCTGGGCGGAAAACAGGTGTGGGGATTGCAGAATAACAGATCCTAGCGTTTAGTCTATAGCAACAGAGAACAGTCTGATGAGAGAGTCATGTGTCCTCAACTCTCACTGCTCCCTTCACAATGGCTTTTGAAGATAAGACTTGTCATAACTGGATTTCTTTCTGTTCTTACATGATTGCACTGGTAACCTGAGGACTGCTTGGGTTTCTGAGTTAAATAAAGTAAGAAAAATCTATATATTTCCTTTGTTTAAAATAACCTTTAATTCTATGTGGCTTAGAAAAACTTGGACTAAATTTTCCTCTGTTGTGACTTTTTTAAACTTTAATTGTCCTTTACACTTCCATAGTTTTGCCCAAGACTGGTTCCATCATCACGGTAAAACCCCTCTGGCACCTTTGAAATTGTTTGTATATTCATTCTCTGCCACGGCCTGCAATGGCCCTTGGCACAATAAATGTGGTGGTTCTTTTTAAGAGGTGAACAGGTGCTTGCTGGGGACCAGCGTATGGAATTCATGGTACAGATTCCTTTCTCATAGGCTAAAAAGCAGTGACCAGCTGCATGACTTTGCTGATCCAAACCTAGAATAATGAAACTATGGCCCTGTATCCTTTAAATAACGGTCCATCCTGTTCCCTCTCGTTCTCTTTGAAAGTCTTTTAGATGCAGGCATTTTAAAACAGTCTGTTATTGTCCATCCTGTTCCCTCTCGTTCTCTTTGAAAATCTTTTAGATGCAGGCATTTTAAAACAGTCTGTTATTCATTTCTCTCCACATGATTTTTGTGATGGTTTTGCCCTCAGGTCTTAGTTTGCAGTGAATTGGTTCTTGTCCCCAGAAAACGTAGACTCATGTACATGTCAGAAATGAAGAAAAAGTAATTCTGAAGGAAACAGCCATATACAGTGTTACACATCACTGGTGAACTGGATCCCCAATACTTGCAACCAGATATTTAATGTTATTTGTGGCCTGAAAGACAGTTAGACACCTAACAGAATATTGAAAAGGGGCAGAATATGTAGTTCTTATACAAATAATAATAATTTGTCCTGTAATAATCCCCTCAACTTTCCACATCTTCTTCTTGTAGCTGCTCTTCCAAATGCTTTGCTCTCTAGTTTTTTTTGTTTTGTTTTGTTTTGTTTTCCTGGAATAATTAGCTTTCTGCCATAATTATCACGAAGAAGCTGGTGTATGAGATCTTGGCCTCTTTCTTAATCAGAACTAGATGCTGTCCACAGTAAAAGTTTGGTTATCCTAGAGAGGAACGCTGGATTCTGGTGGCCTCACCCAGCACAAATCAGCAAAGAACCACAGACCTGAATTCAAACCAGGTCCTGCACATGCAGGGATGAGAAGTACCCTGTTTGTAGAGCAAGATAATTTACACGCTGACCTAGACCAAAACGTCTCCCTAAAAATGGCATTTTGAAGAAACAGTGACTAGTTTTGAGACCCATTCGGCAGGAAAGCAAAGACACTGACCACAAAGACATCCTAGCCCAGAGTTCATGCAATGTTTGAGGCAGACTAGGACATGCTGCTAGTCACTTGCTGTTACTTCTGCTGATTACAAGTGAGACTTCTTTTAAATATTAATGCTTGAAGAAGGATCAAGACCAGAAAAGTAAAATACAAGTATACACTCCAAAGGTTCTTAAGTAACTTTCATAAAGTGCTTAAAAGAAATTAAACAACTGAATGTAGCATTTTGGCTTTCAGTCTACTAACAATCTAGGTCAAACCAGAGCCAAACTGTTTACATTTAAAACATCCAAATGTTCCCCAGAGCTGTTAATGATGACACCAGCTTTCATAATCGGAGAATACAATAAACACAATATCCATTGAGCTGTTGTGTTCAAATCAATATTTCACATGCCATCTCTCCAAATCTTGCATTCACTGAGATTATCTGAGAAAACTCAAATCAATATACAGGACCACTGTCCCTTGGGCCTTTATGCTTTGGAAGTCCCAGTGCCCTTTCTGATTTTTATCTCCATTTTCTTATAGGCACCCAGGAAATCTGTACCAAGGCAAGGAATTGAACCTCAGAGCAGCTCATTCAGCACTTTGACCACTGATCTTTCCTTCTTCCCCAGCTTTGTGATTTTTTTGAAAAGGCTTTTGAGAATGAGAGCTTATAACAGTAAGCATCGTACAAGCGCTACAATAGACTGACTCTTTTTCTGGAATCTAACACAATAAAGCTATTGTCTCAAATCAGCATTTCTCAGGCAAAGTGGTTATATAAATATTTAGAGATAATATTCACTGTTAAGAATTATGAAAAATATCCTCATATCATTCATAAGAGGTAGCTTTTGTGCCTTACCAAAGGTCATCTTCCTCCCCAGGCTATTACACAGTAAGTTGTTGGCCAGTTAGTTACATACTTTGCTGCTGGCCTATCATGTTAGAGCAGCTGCATTTCAGAACATTGCATATAATTTGCTTTGCAATAAAAGGCCTAAAAGAAATAGAAATGTATTAATTTACAAATTCACCTTTAATTAATTCCACCAAGAGAGGAGCTTTGCAAGGTACACATTTCAACCAAGTGAACTATTTTAGGAACCAATTTCTCTGTACTTGGAGAAACATTTAAAAAGAAATGGAAACATTACCTTGGCTGATGTTTCAAACCAGCCCACGAAACCATTCTCTTTGCAGAACTGATCCATCTTGATGCCGTTGTTCATAAGAACATCTATTCCCTGGTCGCATTTGTTTGCTAAGAGGACTGTAGGCACAGGTTTGCCATTTGGAAGAACCAACTTGGAGTCCAAATCCTCTTTCCATTTTGTCACTGCTTCAAATGTTGCAGGTCTTGTAACATCAAAGACAATAAATGCCCCCATGGCCTCTCTGTAATATACCCTGGTCATGTTTCCAAATCTTTCCTGACCTGTGATGAAGAAAGGAGGAGGGGGGAAAAAACACCACCTTGTAAAAATCACTGCTTCCAATCTAGGTCAATATTTCACGTAGCAGGTTTTCTAAGAGAACATTACTGAAGGTAGGACTTCATTTTGTAAGTCTCTGGAAAGCTACTTTTTGTCTAAATAATAAGTACCACGCTAGACACATCTGTATGAAAATGCAAGAGAGTATAGCATGAAAAAGGAATTTCAAAGCAAACATCCAAGGAAATTTAATAACTTTATGACAAGCTTGAAGTTCGGTGTACAATCTTATTAACCTGCCAGATTTCTAGGTCTGTGGATATGTCCTGGTTTTGGTTGGGATAGAGTTAATTTTCTTCCTAGTAGCTGGTACAGTGCTGTGTTTTGGATTTAGGGTGAGAATAATGTTGATAACACACCGATGTTTTAGTTGTTGCTAAGTAGTGCTTACACC